AGGCAGCAGATTTTTCGTGATTGATTGCAAAGTCTCTCAATAGCCCAGGTTGCCTTTTCCTGTGGTCTCTGGGCTTCCAGGTGCATGTGTAAGTCACTTAGGACAAACCACGGTTGTGAGAAATCAGCCAGTCTTTGTTACCATGACTCATCAGGAAAAAAGCTATTGACTATAGTCGGGTGACAGTTTCTGAATCATCAGATGTAATCATCTTTGCTGCATTGGGCCCCATGTCTGCACGTGTCACGATCTTGCCCTGGAACAGCAGGGTACTGAGGAAATATATAGACGGGGCCAAGAAATACAGCAATTGAATATTAGAGCTAGCTCTCTTCATTTTTCCCTCATTTTTTAGAGAGGGATATTGCCGTGGAATTTGGGGATTATCACACATGATAACATTACCCAGGGTCGTGTGCAGCCAGCAGCTTTCCTAGGTAGACATCTCTCTAACTCCTGAGGTCTGTAGGACCAACTCTTACTGAAACAGAGGCAGTGATAGAAGCTGAAGGGTTGAAGGACCTAGAAAATTTTCGTAATTAGTTTTGTGTTGTTGTTTTTTTTATTCTCACAGTGTGGCCTTTAAAAGGAATCAAGTTCAGGCTCTAGGAGAGGGGATTTTGAGCTGCATCTGCCCAGTAACACTCACCTGGATCAAAACTTGGTCTTGAATCAGAGCCCGTTGCATGTTCCTATCGGGGGGCAGCCACCCCCTAATCTGGCTTCTCGTCTCGTCTCTCCTCTGTGCTGATGTTGCTATTCCATCCAGATATTTCAGGATGCATTTGTAGTGGGCATGAATTCTCATAATCTTCCCTCTCAAACCTGCTACTTTTTTCTTCCCTCCTTCCTCCTTTCCCTCCCTCCCTTCTTTTTTCTCCTTATTTCAGAAACTTGTGGCATCTGAAACTTGGCACTGCCACTGAGTGACCTTGGTGAAAATGCTTAACCTCTGTGAACTTTGGTTTCCTTTTTTTTTGGTTTTTGGTCATGCCAGCGGCTTGCAGACCTCTGCTCCCTGCTGTGGAAGTGTGGATTTTTAACCACTGAACCACCAGGCAATTCCCCCAGTTTTCTTATTTGTAAAATGGACTTAAAGTAGTTCCTGCTTGTAGATTGTTATAAGAATTCAATGAGTTAATAAATATTTATTACACAAGACATAATAATTAATTTAAATGTAATGTGATCTATAAATAGATAGGGAAACAAATGCCTGATACATAGGGAGACGTGACCATTATTGTTATTTGGCTTTGTTTCTGGTAGGTGCTTAAAAGTTAAAAGTGCATGTTTAATGTGATTACAAATAGTGGTTTCTTTAAATTTTATGAATATATCCAGATTTTCTCTCAATTTAAAGACTTTGCTGTGTCTTTTCTGCATGCATTCAGTAGGATTTATATGTCACATTTGTGGGCATTGGGAACAAAGTTACTGTCCTCAGGCATTTATATTCCACCAGGCAGTCCAGGATTCTGACCTGAAGCCCAGGAGAGGTTAGCTCCAGAGATAAAATCTACCTCTCTAGAGCTTATGTTTAGACTTCAGCCAGAAGGTTGGTTTTTTTGTTTGTTTTTAGTTTAAAAAGTTGAAATTACATTTCTTTGAGCATCACCTTTCAAAGGTGAGGAATTGAAGTGATATCTTTTTCGTCTGTGATCCTTATAATGATCAGTTTATATAGCAAACAGCTGACACTCAATAGATGTTGGTGTAGAGAGTAGAATTCACCTTTTCCTTGAAAGTGGTTATGCCATTTCAGTCATTTAAAAACTATTTTATCTATTTTATTTAGCATTTTGGGCTGCGTCAGGTCTTAGCTGCAGCATCCTTCATTGCAGCCCAAGGCCTCCAGAGCATGTGGACTCTGTGATTGAGGTGTATGGGTTCAGTTGCCACTGGCATGGGAGATCCTAGTTCCTCAAGCAGGAAATGAACCCATGCCCCCTATATTGGAAGGCAGATTCCCAACCAATGGGAACCAGGCAGACTTCCACCAGGGAAGTCCCCTGGCCTTCATCTCTTTATATCTCTTAGTTAAAGCCTTCTTGAAGCAGACCTGTTTTTCTTTGTATATTGGGCTTCCCTGGTGGCTTGGAGGGTAAAGCATCTGCCTGCAGTGTGGGAGATGCGGGTTTGTTCCTTGGGTCGGGAAGATCCCCTCGAGAAGGAAATGGCAACCCACTCCAGTATTCTTGCCTGGAGAATTCCATGGATGGAGGAGCCTGGTAGCAGTTTAAAACAATGTTCATTTATTATCTCCAGATTCTTGTGGGTCAGGAGTCCATGCAGATGGCCGTGCCCTCTGCTCATGGTCTCATGAGTCCGCAGCCAGGGTGCTAGCTGGGCTGCACTCTTGTCCAGAGCCTGAATGAGGAAGAATCCACTTTCAAACTCATCCAGAATTCATTTCCTTGTGTGTGATGGAGCTTCTTCCAGGCTCTTGGCTGGAGGCTGCCCCCTTACCCACTACTTCCTGACACAGCCTGCAGTTCTCTGCTCCAGGACCCTCTCCAGGGATTGGTCACATCTTGGCTACTTGGCTGTTTAAGCCAAAAGGAGAATCTCTCACTCCAGTCAGCTCAGAAGGAGTCTTACATGAAGTAACACGTTCATGGGTGTGGCATGTCATCGCCTTTGCTGTCTTCTGTTGAGTAGAAGCAATTCACAGGTTCTGGCTGTAGCTGTCCACACAAAGGTTGTGGACTCTAGAATGTGGAAGGTTTTGGAGGTTACCCTATAGTATGTTCACCACACTCCCCAGTGGGATGAAGTCCCCGTAATGCTTCTATCTTGTTGCATTACTGTACCCTCCACTACATACTTCCCCCTTTCTTATTTCTCTCCATCTCTAAATATTTTCCCTTATTATAATTTTTTGTCTACCTTTTTCTTCCAGTTTTATTGAGATATAATTGACATGAAGTGCCATACGAGTTTAAGATGTAGATCGTAATGATTTGACTTACATACACCATGAAATGATTATCATAGTAAGTTTAGTGCATATCCTTCATGTCATATAGATACAAAGTTAAAGAAATAGAAAAAACAATGTTTTCCTTGTGATGAGAACTCTTAGGATTTGTGGTCTTTAAACCACTTTCATATATAACATCTAGCAGTGTTAATTGTATTGATCATGTTGTATATTACTGTAGTGCATTGTTCTTTGCATTGTAGCAATAATAAAGTACTTAATTTATCTTTTAATTGGAAGTCGCACCTTTTGATCACCTTCATCCAATTCCCCTCCCCCCATTTCTGCTAACCACAAATGTGATTTGTTTTTCTATGACTTTGTTTTTGAAGTATAATTGAAAAGTATAAATACTATGCTAGTTTCTGTTACACAACACAGTGATTCACTATTTCCATACATTTCAAAGTGATCACCATGATAAGTCTAGTTACCAACTGTCACCATACAAAGATATTACATAGTAATTAACTATATTCCTCACCCTGTACATTTCATGCCTGTGACTCATTTATTTTGCAACTGAAAGTTTGTACCTCTTAATCTCACTCTCCTATTTCTTTCCTCCCCTCAGTGCCTCTAAGCAACCACCTGTTTGTTCTCTGTATCCATGATTTTTTTTATTTTTAGATTTCACATATAAGTAAATCAAACAGGATTTGTCTTTTTCTTTCTCACTTATTTCATTTAGCATAATACCCTCTAGATCCATCCATGTTGTTGCAAATGGCAAGATTTCATTCTTTTTTAATGGCTGGCTAATATTCCACTTTATAAATATGGATTTACACCACATCATGTTCTTTGTTTTTTATCCATTCATCTATTGATGGGCACTTAGCTTGTTTCCATATCTTCGGTATTGTACATGATGCCACAGTGAATATAGGGGTGCATATATGTTTTCTAAATAGTGTTTTCATTTTCTAACTATCCAGGAGCAGAATTGCTGGATTGTTTGGTAGTTCTGTTTTTAAATTATTTGAGGAATCTCTATACTGTTTTCCATAATGGCTGCACTAATTTATATTCCTTCCAATAGGGCATAGGGTTGTGTTTTCTCTACATCCTTGTTATTTTCTCCAACACTTGTTATTTGTTGTGTTTTTTTTTTGTAATAATAGGTGTGAGATAATATCTCGTTGTGGTTTGATTTGCATTTCCCTGATAATTAGTGATGTTGAGCATCTTGTCACACACCTGTTGGCCATGCGTCTGTCTTCTTTGGAAAAATATCTATTCAGATCCTCTGCCCACTTTTCAGCTGGATTTTTTTTTTTTTTTATGTTGAGTGATGAGTTATTTGTATATTTTGGATATTAACATCTTATGAGATACATCATTTGCAAATATCTTCTCCCATTCTGTAGGCAGCCTTTTTGTTTTGTTGATAGTTTCCTTCACTGCAAAAACTCTTTAGTTTGATACAGTCCCATTTGTTTGCTTTTGCTTTTGTTTCCCTTGCCTGAGGATGAATATTAAAAATTTGTTACTAAGACCAGTGCCAAAGAGCATACTGTCTATGTTGTCTTCTGGGTATTTACCTTTAGAGTCACTGTGGCAGAGACCATGTCCTGTTTATCTGTCTGCATCCCATAGAAGTTAGTTGGTCTCTGTGAACTTTAAAAAAAAAACAAACAATCAGCTTATTGAGTTTAATTATTCAATGAGTTTTCAGTAAGTGAATGAAAATAAACATATGGCTAAAATATTGCAAATTTTGAAGCATTTGCTGATGATTTTTTAAAAAAATAGTCAAATTGCTTAATATATTTGGAGCTTTATTGATTTCTCCTTCAAGGTAATAATTGACAAGATGACTTACAAGACAAAATAATCTCTATATATTATTATAGATAATTAGGGCTTCCCTGGTAGCTCAGTTGGTAAAGAATCTACCTTATATATAGCATATATATTATATATAATAATCATTTCTAGAATTGTATGACTATGAATTTTTTCATGATACAACTTCCTGACTTGTTATCTAACCAGATAATTCTTTTTCTTCTAGATGAGCAAGAGATAGTACAAAAACGTACTTTCACAAAATGGATCAACTCTCATCTGGCCAAGGTAAAGAAAACTCCCCAGAGTTCTATGTTTATTTAGTTTGAGCCAATAAATCATTAAATTCACAGTATAAAATAACACTACCACGGTCATTGTCACTATAACTAGTCAGTGTTGGCAGTCCTGTGAATTTAATTGTCACCTAAGTGTGGCATTTGCTAACCTTGCCTTTAAATAATCAACAGATAACCAGAGTAAAGAGCAGTTACTTCATGTCAATTCCATGAATCCTGATGGAATGTTTCATCCACTTCTTTCTTCTGTACTAACCTGTGTGCCATACCAGAAGGAGAATTCATGCTAGATTTTTGTTTGTATTTGTTTCTATTTGGAACAGAAGGAAACAATGAATGGTCTACCCTGAGCAAAGAATTTTATCTGAAGAGATTGTGATGGTGTCTAGACTCCCCTCTCAAGTGCTTTTATAGAAAAGTAACTATGGGGTCAGGACACTACAAAGACTAATCATTCTGAGATTATGCATACTGATGTTGGGTGGTGTCAGGAGACTATGTATTCATTCATTGTAATTATTCTGAACATAAATATTAATGTAAAACAAATTCCCAGGTAGGTACACTGCAATAAAATTAATCTTTTATAATGCTGATGAACAAATGTGTGAACCAGAAAACATTGCATTTGTAAAAATAATGTCGATGATACAATGATTTTCGATATTCAGCTGGAGTATCTTTGCTGAAGTGCTGCCTGTAGTGTTCAAGGTATAATCCTATTAATATGAGCAATTTTTGACTGGGGACTTCCCCCAAAGCTTCTTTCATCATTCAGGAGCAAACAAAACACAACAACTAATTTCAGTGGTATGGTACGCATTTACTGCTTACCGTTTATGCTAGACTTTGGAGACAGGAAAGAAGATAATAAGACACTTTCCCAGGCCTTGGGAAGCTCACAGTCCAGCAAAAACTGGAGCCTAGCATAACGTGTCTAGATACAGGATTCGATAGGATTGTCTTTTCTGGGATCTCTCTCCAAAACCTCTTGGTAAGATGGGAATTCTCTGGCCCAGTGGCTGCACCCAGAACCTCCCTCTGACAAGACACTGAAGGACTTTGGGGCCCATTTTCTCAGGCTTAGGAGGGCGCCATCTCTCCACGGCCACTACTTACACTAGAGACTGGTCATCTTCCGCGAAATTCTTGCTTTTCCAAAATAAAAATAGAGTTATTGTTTTTTCATATTGTGAAGTGGTTACGTGCTAGTTGTTAAATCATTTTGATAATAATCCTTTTAGAAAAATGTAATGAAAGTAAGTGAAAGTGTTAGTCGTTCAGTCATGTCTGACTCTTTGTGACCCCATGGAATGTAGCCTGTCAGGCTCTTCTATCCATGGAATTCTCCAGGCAAGAATACTGGAATGGGTAGCTGTTCCCTTCTCCAGGGGATCTTCCCAACCCAGGGATCGAACCCGAGTCTCTGGCACTGCCGATGTATTCTTTACCATCTGAGCTACCAGGGAAGCCCAATGAAAGTAAAAATCACCTTAAATCCCACAATCCTGATGCAACCATTGCTGAAGTATTGATCAGTTTCCCTTCACATGGACATGCACAATTGCATGTAAATGCTTCTAGAGGATACTGCTCTGTATGCCTGACTTCACTCAGCACACCCTCCCATGTCAATAGATACAGAGTCATAGAAATGTTTTAATGGCTGGATAATATTTTTTATTATAAATATAATAAAATTATTTATAATTACAAGTTACTATAATAGTTGCCTATTAATGATCACTTAGGTTGTTTCCAATTGGTTAATATTATATAAAATACCACAGTGAAAGTCTTTGGTCATATATATATCTGTACACTTGTGTGATTTTTTTCTTCTTAGAATAAATTTCTAGAAGTAGGTGGATAGTCCACAAGTATACACATTTGTGGGCTTCCCTGGTAGCTCAGCTGGTGAAGAATCCGCCTGCTATGCAGGAGACCCTGGTTCGATTCCTGGGTTGGGAAGATCCCCTGGAGAAGGGATGTGCTACCCACTCCAGTATTCAGGGGTGTCCCTCGTGGCTCAGATGGTAAATAATCTGCCTCTAATGTGGGAGAACTGGGTTCAATACCTGGGTTGGGAAGATCCCCCGGAGGAGGGCACTCCAATATTCTTACCTGGAGAATCTCCATGGGCAGAGGCGCCTGGAGGGCCACAGTCCCTGGTATTGCAAAGAATCTGACGTGACTGAGTACAGGACAGCACACGCACATTTATAATTTTAATAAGTAGCCAAGAACTTACGAGAACTTCCTCACACTATTAATAATCTTTAAGATTAGCAGTATTTTCAAATCTGAGTGGTGAAAAAGTTTTTAATTATTTTCATATTTATTTTTTAGTGGAGTTGAATATCTTTGTGGGAGATTTTACAGCGGAATTCCTGGGATACACTTGTTTACATACTGAATTCTTAAAAAGAAGTTAAAACCAGAATGTGTGCCATGGCACACAGTATTCAAAGGGCCTTTGTGGAGAGATTGTAGGCCAGGAGCTCATTTTCTACTTTACTTTTATCACCATTTTTTCATTGTTTCAAATTGCTTTGCATATTTTTGTGCTAAATGGGTATCGGAACACTGGTATGTATCCTTTTCTGTTCTTTTTCTTAGTCCTGCTAAGAGACCTCACTCCTGCTATTATTTCCTGTCTAAATGTCTAAGTCCTACCTTTAATGTTTAGTGCAAACCTGTCTCATTCCTGAAGTCATTTCTGACCACATGTGAAACAGTGAGTCAGGCCCCAGCAAACGCTCCAGAATATAAGTAGTTTCCCTGGCAACCACCGCCCAGCACCATCCCTGTGTCTTCTCTGCTATTCCTGCCTCTGGTTTGGTAGCATCGGAAATCTCAGCACTCCTCCAGAGCCTGCAGCAGGTAGAGAAGCTCAGCGTGTCTTAAGTGATTTCATACTATTTCATATCTCACCTTCCCAACAACGCTGTGAAATCTAATTATGCTAATTATTGGAATTCACAGTGGAATATTACTTAGCCATAAAAAGAAACACATTTAGGTCATTGGTAGAGGGGTGGATGGGCCTAGAGTATGCAGGTCATACAGAGTAAGTCAGAAAGAGAAAAACAAATATTATATGTTAATGCATGTATGCGGAATCTAGAAAAATGGTACAGATGAGCCCATTTGTAGGGCAGGAATAGACATGCAGACACAGAAAACAGACGTGTGGACACAGGGAGGGGGGAGGGGGGTGGGGAGATGTGGGAGGTTGGGATTGACGTATATACACTGTCACATGTAAATAAATAGCTGTGGGAAGCTGCTATATAACACCAGGAGCTCAACTCGGTGCTCGTGGTGACCTCGATGGATGGCATGAGGGTGAGGTGGGAGGGAGGTTTAAGAAGGAGGCAATATATGTATCCATATAGCTGATAAACTTTGTTGTACAGCAGAAGCTAACACAACATTGTAAAGCAACTTACTCACATTGAAGAAAGAAACCATAATAGCTCTGAGCACAAGACTAAGCATCATTTGCTTAATAAAACAGCTGCAGAGAGTCTTCATCTTTCCTTCCTCTATGAGACTAGTAAAGACATCAATCACATGAGGGAAAGCAGTGATTAATTTCTGGCACCATGCTAGGTGCTTAACCCAGGTTATTTTATAGTGAACTTCATCATACACCTGGTCTTTGGTGCTGCTGAGGTTTTAATGCGGGTGTAAGCCTGAAGTCCACTTGGTTTCCCTACCTTCCACCGTTTTATGTTGATGGTATCATTTTGAAAGACCCAGAACAATTACTCCCTCCACAGCTGCTCCATTAGAACCTCACTGCCATAGAGATTTTGTTGTTGCTGTTTTCTCCTCTGTACCTGTTATTTTTTGTTTTCCTGTCTCTTGACAACTGAAACAATGATGCCGATACTTGTTATCCAGAACTTATCTATACTGACATCATGGTATCTTGCCAAAACCACAACTTCTTTGGAAAATATTTTCCTTTTTCTGATTCACTCATAGTTGGAAAACACTTCGAAAGTCAAATCTGACCCATGGCCCTGCTTTGACACTTGAGAGTTTTAGGAGAGCTTCAGAGTGGATGTTTGGGTCTGTGACTGTCTTGACAGCTGATCCCATGATTCCTTGTTCATCCTTCTCTCTCGTCCCCACCCTTTGCTCACCTTTATTCCTATCTGAGTTTCCTCCCGTCTGAGTTTCCTATTCCAGCCTTGTTTCTGGCTCATTCTCCCTCCCACCCTGCTTCCACTCCTGTGTCACCTCCATCTGTCCCACCCTATCTCACCTTCCATTGCACCTCCACCCAGCTCCCTTCCATCTTGTATCTCAATCCTGTGTCCCTGCTTCATCCCTATTTCCATCTCTATTTCTCTCTGTATCCCTTCTCTGTAAAAAAAAAAAAAAAGAAAAAAGAAACCATGCAACCTGTACATCCTAGGCCTCACAGTATGGTTGAAATCACATTTACATATCCACCCAAATTTAAATGGAAGCACACACTTCCCTCCCCAATGCAATGCGCTCACTTGCTTCTGAGACCAATGCCTTTCTTGCAGCAGAAGCAGGATCAGGTTGATATCTTTTATCTGGCCTCTGGACACTGTAGGGCTTTCCTGGTGGCTCAGCCGGTAAAGAATCCGCCTGCAACGCGGGAGACCTGGGTTTGATCCCTGGGTTGGGAAGATCCCTTGGAGAGAAAGACTACCAACTCCACTGTTCTGGCCTGGAGAACTCAGACCATACAGTCCATGGGGTTGCAAAGAGTTGGACACGACTGAGCGACTTGCACTTTCGCTTTCTGGACATGGTGTCACTTTTCCTGCTGTCTGTGAGAAGGCTTGCTCCCAGAGCCAGAGTGTGTCCGTCACTCCAGGTGTGGACAACATGCTCCTGTACAGACACACAGACACACACACATTTTAGTTACCTGGGTTCCGCAGAAGTGTGTATCATGCCTAGAGTCTTACCAAGTCTCTTGTGAAAGCACCTGTACAGACA